TGTGAAGTAACAACAAGTATCTGTTGAATCTATGAAGTAACAACAAGTATCTGTTGAATCTATGAAGTAACAACAAGTATCTGTTGAATCTATGAAGTAACAACAAGTATCTGTTGAATCTATTAAGTAACAACAAGTATCTGTTAAGTCTATGAAGTAACAACAAGTATCTGTTAAGTCTATGAAGTAACAACAAGTATCTGTTAAGTCTATGAAGTTACTATGTTTCAAGCGTCTAGATGCAAAGAAAAGTAAAAACTATTAAGATATAGCCTAAAAGTGCTTTGCGGACTTTACGGCATAACCATGTTTCATTAGCCCGGGCCCATGGACAGTTGCCCCCTCCCACCCTCTGTAGGCAAAATTTTTGTATACATTTTGTGTGTGTGTGTGTGTGTGATTCGTAGGTTATTAGGAACCTTGAAACCAGAAATATCATGGAACCACTAGCGACTTACAAAAATGTATTGGTGGGTTCTATACGATCCCATCGATAATTCTAGGGGTCAAGAATATTCATTTTTGTACATCAATTGTTTAAGAGCTTATACAGATGCTTATCATTGTATTTAAAAACTGATCTTCGTCACCTATCCAATACTTAAACTTTTTTTCGTCTTCTCGGAACATTTCAAAACCAAAACTTGACATTTTAAAATATAAGAAGCAACATTTGTTAACGTCAGTTTTAAGCTTGCTGGAAGCGTTGAATTAGCTCAAGCGGTGCATTACTTTTTGTGAATAGATTTAAACCGTATCTTTAATGTTTGGCAGAATAAAAAGACATAGAAACCACATAATGAGAATGGACCTTTGTTTCTTTGTTCAGGCTTCGCGTTAGAATGAAATGATAGTAGATCGTGGATCTATATTAAGCCTGGCACTTACGTCATTTCGTGTTCTTAAACCACAGTTTCTTCATAAGACTTACGAATTCGAAGTTTCTTGCAATAGACAACATGTCCGTTAGCGCTTACTCTTTCTCAGGGGAGTTAGGGCTAACTCTTGAAGAAATGTGAACGTTCATACATATTAGACAAGAAAAAGAGCGCGCTTTTCTTTAGAACGCATAACAAGTAAGACTTGTCACATTCAGGAGGCTGTTCCACGTGTAAGGAAGAACGGAAATAAAAAAGACACTTCAATTTGGAAAGGATAAGAAGGCGCATTTTGCCACTTTGAGTTTACGTTTCGTAGCAAGAAAGAAAAGAGCGATTCGAAAAAGATTTTCTTTTCACACTCGAGAATAGTTGTTAGAACTTCTATTAACAGTTAGTAAAAAAAACTGTAAGAGGAATTTAATTTTCAGTTACAAGTGTGTTAAATAAATTATTATTTTTTTATCTTGCATGAAAGTAAATATAACGTTCCCGTATGGTGTCGATTTATTTTTTAGATTTAATTGTTTGCGCCCCCCTCCCGTGGCTCAACGATAATTTGAAGGCTTACGACACTTAAATCCGGGTTTCGATACCCGTGGTGGGTAGAGCACAGACAGCCCATTGTGAAGTTTTGAACTTAGCAACAACTAAACTAAAACTAAAAATTGTTAAATAATTACAATATAGTAGCAAAACTAGAAAAACGATGCTAAAAACTAGTTTTTGGTTAGTCTTAGAAAATAAATAATAATCCCATCTGCGAGCCTGGTAGTAGCTCTACTGGGTAAGTCAAAAGTACTGATTCTCTCTCTCTATTGTTATATACCGGGTAAGTCAAAAGTACTGATTCTCTCTCTCTATTGTTATATACCGGGTAAGTCAAAAGTACTGATTCTCGTTCTCTATTGTTATATACTGGGTAAGTCAAAAGTACTGATTCTCCCTATTGTTATATACCGGGTAAGTCAGAAGACCCGATTTCCCTATTGTTATATACCGGGTAAGTCAGAAGACCCGATTTCCCTATTGTTATATACCGGGTAAGTCAGAAGACCCGATTTCCCTATTGTTATATACCGGGTAAGTCAGAAGACCCGATTTCCCTATTGTTATATACCGGGTAAGTCAAAAGACCCGATTTCGCTATTGTCATATACCGGTAGAGAAAAAAAACCTTGATTTTTCCCTATTGTTATAAAGTCAAAAGTACTGATTCTCCCTATTATTATATACCGGGTAAGTCAAAAGCCCTGATTTCCCTATTGTTATGTTCCAGTAGAGACAAAAGCCCTGATTTTCCCTATTGTTATTTACCGGTTGAGGTCCTGCTTTTCCATACTGTTATATACCGGTATAGCCAAAAGCCCCGATTTTCTTAACATCTGAAGGACGGACGGCATAAATCAACACCATCTCTTTAACTTCCATCATTCATTAAAATTTTACACAAATGTAGGCCGAAGACAGAAGGTGGATTACCGGTGTATGGGCCATTCTTCTACATATACCTGTTTTACCAGGATACATTTTACCACCTTGTGATTTGTAACCTAGTTATGTTTGCCCCCTTCTTCATGCGCGAAGAGCTTTTGCTACAAAATTACTGAGCATTCATAAAGTGTCTATTTAGTTAACACTTAACCCACGTATCAAACTGTATTAGAAGTAGCATCAATAAAGTGATTTGTAGTTTTTATAAAATATACATAACTCAAACCTAAAAAAAACAAAAAACATTTCCAACTTTCGATAAAGAGTCTGATATCACTATTGTTAATATCAAAACAAAATAAACAATCAGTTTATATCTATATTTCGGAGGATTCATACCCTCATATATCACCATTACAGATTAATCTGTTGAAGGAGCACCCACCCCAGTGGCACAGCAGAATGTCTGCGGACTTACAGTGCTAGAAACCGAGTTTCGATACCCGTGGTGGGCAGAGCACAGATAGCCCATTGTGTAGTTTTGTGCTTAATAACTAACAAACAAACTGTTTATGGATTACGATGTATTACGTTTATCTGTCTATTCCTTCCTACACGTGTGTGTGTGTGTGTAGAGAGATATAAACAGAATATAAACGTTTTCTTCTGACCACACCAGGATATTATTACTGATTGTTCCTTTTATAACTTTAAATACAGAAGCATACATGGCTTGGAAACTGGGTTAGCTAATGCATTGTAATTACCTCATGAACGTTTTTCTTCATTTACATAACGAAATATTTACACATATCTTAAACGTCTCTAGCACATTGGTGCTCAAGTGGGAATCCGAGCGTGTCCTAGTGGTTAGCCCATATTGTTAAGGTAATAAAATAGTCTTCCTTGAAAGTACAGTGAATACGTCTTTAAAAAGCCCATATTGTTAAGGTAATAAAATAGTCATCCTTGAAAGTACAGTGAATACGTCTTTAAAAAGCCCATATTGTTAAGGTAATAAAATAGTCTTCCTTAAAAAGCCCATATTGTTAAGGTAATAAAATAGTCTTCCTTGAAAGCACAGTGAATATAATACGTCTTTAAAAAGCCCATATTGTTAAGGTAAGAGTCTTTCTTGGAAACACCGAATCTATATATCATTATGGAAAACCCACAGTGAGAATGTTGAGATCGATAGCACGTGCCGAACTCAGCCGAGCTTCGGACATCACGTTCAAACACGACGTTATAGCGGCGCGAGTGTGCCACGTCGTAGTTTAGACAAAGTGAACTGTAGAAAATATTGTATCCTTGAACTTGGAATTGAGAAAGCTCGATATCATTCCTTACATCTGGCGCAGCGGAGATGGAAGGTACGTAGAAACGAAGCCTGTTTTTATACAAGTCTCATTCTGCACTTTTTTACGAAATAAATTAATGTTGAAGTGGTCATTTATTAAATCGATATCAGCTTAGGTTCATGGCCTTTTCTTTTAAACAATTGTGTTTCTGATAGTTTTCTTTTTTCCAGTAAAAGAAACATGAATAAAAAAAAAGATGTGGTCTTTGTACCACGTGAATATTGCTGTATCGACCATTGTTCTAGCATTGATAATTTATACGCCCAATTTAAACCGTTTTGTTCAGGTTGTTGTAGAGTTGTTATCTGTTAAAATGACTCTAGGTCAGTTGTCAATCTTATCTATATTATAACCTAAAGTTTCTATTCATTCACCGGTAACCTATATATCAGTCTTCACGCCCGTCTGCCTGTCTATTTTATTTTAATCAGAGAATGGGTTTGTCCTAGTGATTAGAAGTATCTTTAAAACGTTAAAACAAAACCTGGTTAATAGAAATACAAGATTGCCATAAATAAAAACATCCTATTATCATAGTTAAGACGTACTTCATAGTCCTTTCGCTGTTGGAGACATATTACACTCGGAGGATCGGAAGAGGCCACTGCTGAACTTTACAATATACATGAAACCTTTACTATAGTTTTATCCTCTAACCTTAGAATTAATTACAGATGGGGTCCATACCCCATCACCTTTTAAAGTGCATCTTTTAAAACTACCTGGACGCTAAATAGCTTGTTGCTCCTAACAACGTACGAGTCACACACAAAATAATATCACCAGTTACTCTCACTCTCAACTTCCTATGTCATTTAAATGTTTTCACACAGTGTTTAGTCACTTCTTCATATATTGTTGTAACAGTATGACGCTATGTATGGACCACGGGCGTAGCCTACCAGCACTCCAGAGGGAGGAGCGGGGGCTTTTTTCCAAGATAATATGGACCTTTCTTTCTACACAAAGAATCTTAAGTGATTTACATGAAAGTCGAGTGTTTATTATAAAAAAAAATTATCAGACGTTAGTGGACCTTTAAAGTTTTCTAGAATATTGGGGTTGTCTTCGAGTTCCCCTCTGGACCCCACCAGAAGGGAAAAAGTTGGTAATTTGAAGACTAACGGATAGATACGTATAGTGAATATATATCCTTTTTTAGTTACGCAGGTAGGGAGGTTCTTATTTCACGTCGTGGTTCCAAACATCCTAATACCAAAATGATGGCAATATACTCCCATATCTTGTATTCTCAAAGTTTAGCGGATCAGCGGACGAAATATTGCATTATAATCACTATAAGTAGTTTAGTTGGAACATTATATTTAATTAGCTATGCTCATTACTAGGTTCTGATCTATCTAGCTGGTTTGCTTTCATCAGAAGTTAAATTTAATAGCTTTTCATTTTTGTGTGATACAGTTTATTACATTTTTTTTGATTTAGAGGTTTTGGACAATTCGACAACGAACCCTGTTAGGCCCTAGAATATGTTTTTTGTTACCCTTTATATGTCAGCTTTAATACATAAGTATTCTACTGCTTTGTTAAATCCAGTCTTAACTCTCGAGTAGCCAAAAACGTTTTGCTTCTTGACTTTAAGTATATACATGTTGATCCATTTTCTTGACTTTTTTTTTCACAGAAGAAATACTTTTCTGTGACTCACTCAATACATTTTTTGTATATCATGTCATGAGTTCGTGATCTTTCCAAACTCTGCAGCGAATGTGACAGAAACATAATATCAGGTCGTTAGGTTTCAGTTTCCTTTACTGGTAGACGCAGAGCATGACGTATTAAAATGATTTATATTTGATGATATCAGCAATTATCCCATAAGTCTGTGCGGATGACATGCTGATGTTACTCTACCACTGAAATCTCTAATTGAACGTAACCTTATATTAGCATTATATATGCATTACTTACATAGAAACAGAACACACATACACATATATAAATATAAGTGTTTACTCCGAGTGGCCAATGCCTGTAGAACTATATGCATTAGTGCTCGTTTAGTAATTGGTTCATCCTAAGCTTACGTCATTGAAATATTTAGTTGTTTTTGTTGTTTTTTTCAAACACCAGGTCATGACTCTAAGTCAGAGATTTCCAAACTTTTTTCTCCGATGACACTCTAACCCACTTCCTTTTATTTACACGATACTCCTTCTGCCACTTACAATATTTTTGTAGTTTTTTTTTGTTTTTTTTATACTGTTACTAATTATTCACCGTTTGTATTATGAATGTACTTGTGAATAAAACACAAAGTTAATCTGTTTTTGAGGTATTTAATTTGCTGTGGTCCAAAGCACACAGATTACTGACGAAATTTTCTACATTAAAGATTTGACGTTTGTGTTAAAATCTTCTTGCTGGTTTATTACAATGAAATTAATAAATTTGGCGTTTGTGTTAACCTGAAAATCTTAAAAGTTTATACAGTGAACATACTAGATTTGACGTTTGTGTTAACCCTGAAAATATTCTTGCAGGTTTATACAGTGACAGTAATATGCTTGAGGTTTGTGTTAACCCTGAAAATCTTCTTGCAGGTTTATACAGTGACAGTAATATACTTGACGTTTGTGTTAACCCTGAAAATCTTCTTGCAGGTTTATACAGTGCCAGTAATATACTTGACGTTTGTGTTAACCCTGAAAATATTCTTAGCTGGTTTATACAGTGACAGTAATATACTTGACGTTTGTGTTAACCCTGAAAATATTCTTGCAGGTTTATACAGTGACAGTAATATACTTGACGTTTGTGTTAACCCTGAAAATATTATTGCAGGTTTATACAGTGACAGTAATATACTTGACGTTTGTGTTAACCCTGAAAATATTCTTGCTGGTTTATACAGTGACAGTAATATACTTGACGTTTGTGTTAACCCTGAAAATATTATTGCTGGTTCAAAATCATTCGTAATGATATTTCTACTGACTCTGATGAAAATGTCATAAAAAATTGACTTTTTATTGTAGATTAGACTAATGAATTAGTATATTTATTGACTCCTCGAGCAAATCTCACAAACAGCAAATTCATTAAATTGTTGACTTGAAAAATCTCATTATCGAATGAAACAATGTAGTGGTATTTCTGTTGACTGTCACGGCAAATTACTTATCATAGATTATGACAATTGTTGACTCGAAAATCTTATTATCATGTGAAATAATGGAGTATTTTTGTTGACTCTCAGAACAATGTCTCTACAGGAGAACAGAGTCAATATACGTTTTCTATGCCAGAATGTTTCTAATAAAAGCAAAATTTAATTCATCCTTGCGAGTCCATTATGTCGCGCGTTTTGGCTTACACTTTTGCGTTTGAGCAGAAAATATTAGAAAATGCATTTACAAACGCTATGCTGCGTACAACAAACATCCCTTAATTTAGTGACTTGTATACACATCGTTAACAACTGCATATTTTGTTAGTATATTGAATAAATTTAGTTTCTAGTTGACAATTTATTTTCGTTCTATTAAAAACAACGAATGCTTGCTTGTTATTAATCACAAAGCTACACAATGGCCTATGTATTCTCTACTCACCGCGGGTATCGATACTAGAATTTTAGCGTTATAAGCCCGCAGGCTTAGCGCTGAGCCACCTGGGGGGCGAATAATGAAAGAACTTCTAAAATGTTAACACCTTCACTGCAGCAGCGCCCCTAGTGGTACAGCGATATGTCTGCAGACTTACAACGCTAGAAACCGGATTTCGGTACCAGTGGTAGGCAGAGCACAGGTAGCCCATTGTATAGCTTTGTGCTTAACTTCAAACAAACCAAACTGTAGCAGCAGTGTTTATTCCCTGTGCGTGACTTTTTTTTCTGGTCATTTTTGTTATAATGTTGTGGAATTTGTTACATACTTTCAAAGCAACTCAAACAGGTTGTTTGTAATTTTCAAGCAGATTCTTTATGATTTCACGGTAGGATCCTTTGTTTTGTGACGTCATTTTCATTAATCATTTAGTAGCTTTCAAAAATCAGTTGCACAATATTTTTAGGCCTACTGCCTTCAGTTACATAGTTTGTTCATGTTGATATCAGTGTATGCAGCACACACTTTAAAAGCATCCAGTATTCAAAAATTGTGATGAAACTTGAGTCTTCTCTGACGTTTAGTGATTTGATTTTTTTCTGGCCTGATAGGGAGGGACTCCCCCTGTACAAGTGAAAGAAAGCATAGCTGATCGTTTTTTCATTCATATATCTGAGCTAAACAGCAGTATACGGCTGCCCAAGTTTTTCGTTTTGTTTGTTTGTTGAATTTCACGCAAAGCTACTCGAGGGATATCTGTGCCAGCCGTCCCTAAGTTAGAAGTGATAGACTAGAAGGAAGGCAGCTAGTCAACACCACCCACCGCCAACTCTTTGGCTACTCTTTACCAACGAAGTGTGGGATTGACCGTAACATTATAACACCCCCAGTGCTTAAAGGTAACGCATTTTCGATAACGGGATTTGAACACGCGACCCACAGATTGCGAGTCAAGGCGCTAACCACCAGGCCATGCCACGTCAGCTACAAAAGTAAAGCAGTGAATATCATAAAAATACATGTGTTCATCCCACGACTTCTGTGAAAGCACATTATCATGTTGAAGACATGAACTTTGTCGGGTGAGCTACACTATATAT